AGCAGTTCTCAACCTGTGGGTCGCGACCCCTTTGGGGTCGAACGACCCTTTCACAGGGGTCGCTTAAGACCATTGGAAAACAAAAAGATATTTACATTACGATTCATAACAGTAGCAAAATTACAGTTACAGAGTAGCAACGAAAATAATTTTATGGTTGGGGGTCACCACATGAGGAACTGAATTAAGGGGTCGCGGCCTTAGGAAGGTTGAGAACCGCTGGTATAAAGGAAAGAGATCTGGTGTCAAATGTGAAACTGCATCTACTCAAGTCCTTTACTTTTCCTTCAAATACAATTTTTAAAAAGTATTTTGAACACTTAATTCCAATAGTCAAGTTTCTTATTTCTTCTTTTACCACAAGTAGGTTCTTTCAATTTTAAACTGGAAGTAAAAAGGAAAATGTGATCTATTTGACATCTAATTTAGTTAGAATGTCAAGCTTGTAGTTAAGCAATTACTACTAGTGCTTTAAAAGCAAGATTCCTCATGGTGGCACATAGTGGCCCTAAACTGTAGTGAGAAAAGCAGCCTATTAATGGGATTTCTACTCCTGATTAGTTTCTCTGTAAAGGTCACTCAACCCCAACATTCAGTCCTCTGATCTGGGCTTCAGATCAGAATGCCTAAGTATAGAATCCTGGTTTCACCATTTAGTGAATCAGTTATTTTGTAAATTGCAGGATCTCTTGGGCCTAGTTTCCTCCATTTGTAAAATGAGAACACGGTTTTAAAATTTAATTGACTTTAATCGGTATAAAGTGTTTAGCATAGTGCCTGGAACATAGCAAGTGTCACGTTATGACTATTATCATCTGTGAAATGAATATAGCTATTCTTATCTTGCAAGGCTGTGTCGAAAAATAAATAATGAGAAGGTTCCTTGTATATGGTTAAATGCCACCAAAAAAATAGCTCTGTTATCACAAGTACACAACAGGTGTAGTGTTTATTAACAATGATAAGAGTTGATAATATAGCCAAACTGGAGTATGGGGGGGAGGAGGTTGTATGTTCCTCTTCTAAGTTACTTTTCACTAGTATTATAACTATTCACAAGTAAAGCCCTTCCTTCTATAAAAGAAACTTCATTCTCTGGAAGTAGCAAGAAACTAAATACGTATACTATGTCTTTTCGCTTCTTGATCAGACAACTAAAAAAAAAATAAACAGTGGACTCCAGAAATAGGAAACGCCACCCAAGGAAGAATATTTCAGTTCTTATGTCTTCCCTTTATTATAAAAATTGAATGTACATTTATGACTGTACTCTATAGTCAAATATCAGTCCAAAACAGAACCAAACATTAGCACATTTCATCACTTCATACCAGTGAAGAATCTTCTGTAGTACAATAGTGTAAAAATTTAAGACAAGTAGATGACAGTTCTTCTATGTTCTCTTCCACCTCCTACAATTGTCCTATGAACGTTTTTTTAAATCTCCTTTTCTTCCTTATATGGATGAATCAATACGAGAAGGAGTTCACATTTTGTTCTCTCTATATGCCCTTGATTATGTCTCATACTCATAGTTGTCTTTCCAGTGTCTTGTACCACTGATGAATACGTGGCTCCAAAAACATATTTCTGTCAGAGGCTAGAGCTGTGAATCACAGCCATATATAACCAGTCTGAGAAGTGACAACAGTCAAGTTTATCGGGATTTTCTTCAGTCATAAAGTATGGCCCATTATAGAAAATCTGTAAACACAGGAAATCAGAAAAAATGGGCATCACCCATGGTTCTCTCATGCAATTTTCTGGCTTTCAAAATTGCATCTTTGCTTCTTCAGGACCAGAGACAAACCTTGAGCCTGTTTCTAACAAATCATTTCCTTCTCATTCTACTCTTGTTGCTTCTCCACTTTTCCTTCCACATGCTCCTAATACAATATTGCATGGTCATGGGGTTTTGTAGTTTTCCTGCTTTCTGGAGCTACCATGTAGGAAGTGGGACTGCCCTGCTGGAGAGACCCCATGGAAAGCCCTGACACTACATGGAGAGGCAAAGGACAGGTGAGCCCAGCCTTCCAGTAAAGACGCATTTTGGAAGTGGATCCTCCAGCCTTAGCCACTTTGGCTGACAGCATGTGGATCAGAAAGAAAAAAAAAAAAGGCCCAGGTGAGCCCTTCCCAATCTCTTGATTCACAAAATTGTCAACAAATAAAATTGTTGTATTAAGTCACTAAGTTTGGGGGTGGTTTGCTATGCATGAATAGATAACTTCAGAAGAGCTCAAAATTTATCTATCTAATGGGAAGCAACGCAGAGAGTTGTGCATTAAGAACATCAACCTAGTTGCAATGTATAAGACAGACTGTAGAAGACATCTGGCGGCAGAAACCCAGGAAACAAGAGCTAGTGAAGTATGAACTAGGGGTAATAGTAAGTAGGGGGAGGAAAAAGATCCAAGATACTGACCACAGAATTAGATTCAATGGGATTTTTTTTTGTAATTGGCCATCAGGGCAAGAGAAAGAAAGTAGTCAAAGGTAACGTAAGTGTTGAGATCAGGTGACTGGAGGATGGTGACACAACTAAGAAAGAACAAGGCAGGTGATAAGTTCAGATAAAAAAATGCAATGCGTGTTAATTTTAATACATAAGACAAAAATGGAAGAACTAAGGCAAAATAGCATCCATAATCCCAGATATAATTATGCAAATAATTAAAGTTTAAGCAGAGTTTAAAAGAGCTCTAAAAAATCCTGTTACCAGTGTCCTACAATAGGAAAGGTTTTAAACCAAAAATTATTAAAAAAATTTTCAGTGGGTGAGCTAAAGAGTTTAACATTAAGATTTTTCCTTAATTGCCAAGTGAATATGGGTTCAGAACCAGGACAGTTAGTTAAGCACATCCTGATGAGCAAGGGGGAAATTCAATGTTTTCAATTCTCTTTTTATAGTTGAATCCTCTGTGAACTCATAACACCCCTGCCCCTTCTATCCCAACACTGCTTACAGGTTCTACCCTCTGACATATTTCCACATAGCACTGAGTTTGTTTTTTTAAACCAGAAATCTCATCAAGGTAGAACCAAATCCTTACCATGGCTTACGAAATGCTGCCTCAAATGACCCTTGCTGACACAGCGAGTCTGACTTCAGACCTCTCCCCGCTCCACCCTTCACTCCCCTTCACCATTCTGCAGGGATAGTGGTAAGCTTTTAGTCCAGGCCATCCTCCTTCCTTCCACTTCAGGCTCTTTTCTCTGGCTGGATTACTCTTCGCTACCTCTCTTTGACCAAATGAATTCTATCCTCCTTCACTTCATCTTAAATGTCACTTCCTTAGAAAAAAAAACCTGTCCTGACTATCCTTAGTGTTCATTCACGTATCTCTCACTCCTTCAAAGTACTTAGCACAATAACAATCTACAATTATTTAAGGAGCTGTGTTTAAGCTCCAAGAAGGTGGGACGCTGCATCTCATTCATTCCCACAGCCCCAGGACACAGCGCACTGACGGGCACAAAGTAAACACTCCAGAAGAACTTTTCGAATAAATGTCGCTCACAGGTATTGCAAGACAATTAGGAGCTGGACCCAAACCGAGTTCAAGCCCCAGCTCTCATCCTTACAAGCTTTTGGTCGGGTAAGTTATTTTATTCCTTTTTAAAAACAAAAAAAACAAAAAAACACAAAACCCCAAGTCATGAGATTTAAGAGTTCATATACAGAAAACGCTTAGCACAATAGCTGGCACACAGCATCGTGTTTTGTCCTATTATTATTAACAAGGAAGATGAAATAACAGGGTCAGGTGTGAAATTAAGTTGTGCGGTAAAACTCTTCACACAGCCTAGAACGCAGAACGCACTCGTGGCCAACACGGATTCTCTCATGTAGCCTACTTCATACACGTTCAGTCTTCCTGACTCATATCTCAACTTCTTTTAATTAGATTTCTTCCCAGAGGCTGCAAGGCGTCTCTTTTATTTCGATGCTGACAGCCTCCCGGATACTATAAAGCCTCAGAGTTTAGGTTTTTACAGCGCGGTCCAAAGTCTGGTCCCAGGCTCCCTGCTCTCTCCTCACACGGAACCACTCCCCACCCCCAGCCGCAATAACTTACACGAAAACCGAAACAAAGCAAGGCCAAGTCTCAGCGGTCTTCCTTCAAGCAAGGTAAAAGTGTGGGAGGTCCCACAACCTCCCAGCAGGGTCCACCGTTTCCTCTCGGCGTTCGCAAAACGCCCGGGCCAGGCCCTATCACCGAGCTGCTCGCCACGTTTTCCAGGGATTTACAGGGTCCCTGGCTGGTTGACGGCGGAACCGGCCCTAGAAATAACCGGGACCCGCCGGCACTCAGCGCGGCTTTTCACCACAGCAAGCGGCCCGAAGTTTTAGACAACCGCTCCACGCAGTGTTTCCGCCACATCCCACGCGGGAACACTGCTCTCGTTCGCTGCCCGGCGCCGCAGGCACGTATGTCAGGGTCTCCTCCTCCGCGCGGCTGAGGGCTGACACGCTTGGACGTCCTCACGAGGGCTGGGTCGGGGTCGCCGGCTCTCTGGAGAAGACACCCCTCCAGGGCTGAGTCGGGAGGGCTCGGGGCTGCGGCCCGTCAGCCCCCTGAGCTGGGGGCGCCAGAGTTCAAAGTCACAGTGCATCGCCCCCAGCGCTCAAGGCCGCGCTCCGCTTCACGGACGCCGCCTCCCGCGAGGTGTCGCCCAGGAAACTCGGTCTTTCGGCGCTTTCGCACTCGCGTCGCTGGCCGAACCACCGGCCCGCGAAACTTCCCGAAGTGGCGAGAGCGGCGGAGGGTCCGCCGGCCGCCCGCGCCTTTGTCGCTCCCGCCTCACCGCCGGCCCCGCTGTTCGGGCCGCCCGGCGCTCGGCGGCGCCCCGCGCGGCCACAGAACCAGTCGTGTCCCGGCCGCCGTCGGGCCAGGCCCGAGCCCCCGGGCTCTGCGCCCCCGCCGCCCCTCACGCCGAGGCCCCCGCCCCCACCCCCGGACTCATGGAGGCGCCGGGCGGAGACGCCACTCGCCTCACAGAGCCTGCCGAAGAGCTGGGCGCGCACCACGGCCGACACTTACTCGCCACTCAACTCGCCGGCTCGCGAGGCGGGCTCGGCGGCCTCTGTCACCGAAGCTTTTAGTCACCAGGAGCGAACGCCGAAATCTCCGTCGCCGCCGAGGCCGCCGCTGCGCTTCTTCCGGCCCTGCCGCGGCGTCACCTCGCGCCTGCGCACAGCGCCCCCTCCCGACTAATGACAGGAAGAACCATAGAGGCAGGCCGGGGGCTAGGGAGGAGGGACTTGGGGAGCAAGACCACAGAGAGGGCCGCCAGTCCGCTGCTTTATCGCGCTCACCGCCCGCTGAGTCGTGACTCCCCCTTGAGGCGATAGGACGTATGGAACTGAGACTCCCTCAACACCTAGAGTTGAAAAGGGCACGGGGG